TCAAGATATTTATCGCAGCGTGCAAAAAACTCATATATTGAGAAAAACAATAATAAAGATTTTTAATATAAAAAAAAGTTTTTTAATATATAAAAAGGTCAAAAAATTATTGAAAACAAAACGACTTGAGCATTACTAAAAACACAGAAAAAAGAAAAATGTGAAAATTCTAATAATTGAAAAAAGTTTAACCAAAATAGAATTATTCAATCAATGAAAAAAAGCTTGAATATAAAAAGATAATAAACAATAACTACGTTAAAAAATACAATAACTGCCTTAACATAAATTTAATTAAAAAAGTAACAAAAAACTATTATCTAAAAAACTCCTGCTTCATAAGATACACCTTCACTTTCATTTACTATATCTGTAAAACCTTTTCGCTCTGCACGAAGCAGCTTTCTTTTTTGTTTTATTGTGTTGAGCAACTTTTTTTCCATCATCTTTATTCTTTCTTGGTCAATTTTGGTTTAGTACTGAGGCAAATGTACCTGGTGTAACATTTAAATATTCAAATATGTTTAATATACCTTTTGACTATAGATTTCATAAAAAAATCTACAATTCCAGAAACTTCCATAGATTTAACAGAACCTTTGTGATTATTTAAACAATCATGGATTTCCAAAAAATTTTCATAAAGTTTTGGATCACTATCTTTTTTTGATTCCCATGATGTACAGGCATTGCATATTTTTGAAAGAACTCTATAGTCAACACATTTCTCTGAGTCACTAGCAATAACAGTAACAACACCATTAAGTGAGGAATGACCCCTTTTTTGCCAAGTTCCATCACAGGAAACAACAACATCAGCTATTACATTAATATCAAAATCATTTGATTGAATATCATTGTTAAGAAATCAAAATTCATTTGCTGCATTTTTCATTTTCACATCAGCTACAATTTAATATATGATGTGAATTTTATCTTGAACATCATTAAATGCTTTTATGTTCATTGGAGGAGGTAAGTTCATTAAACCACAAAATTTTTCCAAACCAGAATGACTTTTTCCTATCGTTAATTATAAATACAGTGAAAATTCACTGTACCTAAGGATGCGTTTTTTAATAGGTACAGTGAAAATCTATTTTTAGAATATTTTTAAAATTTACTTTCATTTTCCAAAATGCGCATGCTTTAAAACAACGAGTATATTTTCGAAGAGAGTTCTTGAATAAAATTTAGTAGTTAGAAGATTTTCAATAAGATTCTTAAAGATTAAAAAATGGAGGACATTTTCATGAAGAATTTTAGAGATTTTGATGAAGCAGAAAAGTCTGTTATTGAATATTGTAGAATGAATTTTCACCCCGTCAAAATCGACTCAAAAGAAAAAGTTGAACATTATAATAAAAAAGTAAAGGAAGGTTCCCAGATATGTTGTATTCCTCTTAACGCTATATATGGTTGTAGGTGAGCCCTATATAATAATAATAGTAAATATTGATAGTATTGGTAATACCAGTAATAATAAGGTAAGCTGTGACAATTGCTGAAATAGATAAATAAGATAGTGGAACAAGTTCCACAATCACTTTTAATAGTATTATTGTGATATTAATAGATGATGTTTTGCTACTTATAGCATGCTAGCACAACATTTTTTATTATTGTGTTCCACAATCAGTGAAATTTATTCAGCAATATTATTTGTTTCAGCAATATTATATACAATGCTTGGTGTTAGATACAGTGAAAATTCACTGTACCTAAATAAGCGTTTTGGCTAAATACAGTGAAAATTCACTGTACCTAAGGAAACGTTTTTCGCTAAATACAGTGAAAATTCACTGTGCAGTGAAAATTCACCGTATTTATCAGAAAAGCTTTTAAGTTACAGTGAAAATTAGTTTAAAAAGTTACAGTACAGTGAAAATTAGTTTAAAAAGTTACGTACAGTGAAAATTCACGAGGAAACTGTTAAAATAATAAAAATGTTGTTATTTTGAAAGGAAAAAGCATAATGCTCATTGAAATGTATTAGCTAAGTAACATAAAAAACCTAGGCGAGGAGTTGTTAATAGAGTGGAAGTAATTAAGGAATATATCTCAGAAAATAAAATGTTATATCGCGACGTTAGAATTATCTTGTGCTATCTCCATGTTTTTGCAAACTGAGAAAATCGATGTCAAAGTTTGAATTTGTTCGCAGCTAAATTGAAAAAATATTTTGAGAATTTAGGTATTTCCTAAGATTTAAAAATGTTTTATTATTAATTTTTAGATAAAAAAAAACTTTTTAAAATTACGCTAACGCCCTTTTTTTCGCACCCTCTTTTGGAGATAGAACAAAATAACTTTGGTTTTTAGTAAAATTCAAAAATATTATGTTGTTACATCATATATATTAAACATATTAAGTACATTTTTCAACAACGACATGTTAGAAATTGATGAAATTTTGTTCTACCTGCTAATTATTCTTACGCAGTACCATACACTCTTAATTTATGGGCATGGGCCTCTAAATTAGGGGCATGGGCCCCTAATTTAACGGGACCCTTTTCAAAATATAAGACGCTTTTTGTATTACCTAAAAAATTAAGTTTTTTTAAATAAAATGAGGCCCTAATTAGGAGAACTTTTAGAAGAGCCTCTAACGACACTGTTCTTACGACTTACATTTACTTTAATTACCTGTAGGCGCCGGCCCTGGACAAGACTAAGACGTCTAATTTAAAACGGAAAATTTGGCTGCGTAATAATAATATAAACGTATTAATATAATATAAACGTATAAAATAAATTATGAAAGATAGATAGGAAAGAGTTATGTTAAAAAAAATGTAATAATAAAAGAAATAACATTATGTAACTATCTGATAATTCACAACAATTCAACTAATCTAATCACAAACTCCATGCAAGATGAACTTGATTTTATTTTTCTTATGCCTGTGTATCCATTAATAGAGTTTAACTTTTTATTAAAAGTTATTGCAAATATTTACAAATAAAAAATTGTTACTCAAGTTAACGTCAGGAAGGGCATCAGGTTGTGAAACATTGCTTTAACTCTTTCATAGTGGCCTTTATGTCACTATGGAAAACCATCCAAACCAAACAAGTGGGGGAAAATGAATATAAAAGTACAAAAAAACAAACAAAAAAAACACAAGCTAAACAAAAATTTTTATCAAGATTTCAAAATAAGATTATTTCAATGTGTTTTATATTTATATTTATACTAAATAAATATTTTATTTAAATATGTTATTTATATGTATATTATTTATATTATTATATATATATAAATATGTTATTTATATTTATACTAAACATATAACAACCCTAAAAATATTTTGACTTTATTAATGTTTTGTAAATGTTCAATTTATTGTTTTATAAAATGCAATATCAACAGCAGGCATGTATGAATACATGGAAATGATATCATTGGCTTTTGCAACAGATATAGACTGATAAGAAGCACGAAAGCAAGCTGCCATTGGTATATTGGTATTTAATGGTTTTGCAACAATGGTTGATGCTGCTTTCTTGACAGACTTATTTATACGAGCTTGTGAATAATTATCTGAAAACGAGGTTTTAAAAAAAACATGGTATGGCAGTCCGTTTCGATAAACAAGATTTTTAACCTTTGAATAAGGCACTAACTTATAACTTGACAAACCAGCGACAACTGAAAAATTCTTTACATCTCCTAATTGCATTTGGTAAACACAGAAAGGTTTTTTACGGTTTACATTTTTAATAGCTCTTTCTAGCCCAAGTGGACTAAATATTTCTGCAGCAGAGAGGGATTTTTCAATCTGACTATGAATGTTGTCACATTCTTGAATGCTGGAATGACCTGGCTCACAGAACTTCTGTTCAATTACTTTTATTTGTGGGTATCGTATTATAAATTCACACAAAGCTGCTGACATGAAACTATTGCGGTTTTGTGGTACACATGAATCGAACCAAAGTATGAACTTATTTATGTCAAGGTCAGCCATGATTTTCAAAAGCAAACATGTTACAGCACTGGCTAGATCATTTCCTCCACGACCAGTCATGGCTTCGTGCCAAAGGATGCAATAACCCTTGCTGTTAAGCGAGCAATGACCAGTTAAGTTATAATTTGAAAGTTTTCGTTTGTAATAAAAGTTTCCCACATTAGCTCTAGGCAAATTTAAAACATTTTCAAGGTCAATACAAACAATTGCAGTTTTAGAATCAACATTTTGGCGATCATTTTCATGTTCAGTTTTGGTATCATTCCTTGATTTTATGTGCTTATTATAACTATCTGTTTGTTCATTGCTTGCATTAACAATGTTGCGATACTCATAGCATGTGTCACATAAATCTTTCTTCGGTTTTTGAAATTCTATATTGAACTCGTGATTAAAGATATAACGATACATATGTTCTTTTGCTGGAGGAGAGACATTTTCATCACAATATATTTTATAAAGATCATACATTCCACCTATATTTAGTGATCCTTCCATGTATTCTTTATGTGTCTTTTTCCTGCTATAATGAGCATCAATTCTTGGGAAAAGGTTAATATGGTCTCGCACAACTTGTTTAGACTCTTCTAGTAACCTTTTTTTAACATGTTTCCCTGATTTTGATTGCAATGGTGTTCCAGTAGTTAAAGATTTATTAAACTTATGAAAGTAAAACACTCTATGGCTGCTAATATTCAATGTTGAAAGATAATATGATTTACAAACTCTATATTGTGTATTAGAAACAAAAAAGCTATAATAATAAGATGTTTTTCTTCTTGAATTGTCACCAGCAGCTGTCCGACAGCGTTTTTTCTCCAGATTTTCAGTAGTTTTAGAATAGAAATGTTTTTTTCCGTCATCATCTAAGGTCCAAAAGTTATCAAATATTATTTGACGTTCAATCTCAGATATATTGGTAGAACATTTAAATTTACAATTTCTGCAACTTTTTAGTGCAACAATAGATCTTTTTGGCATTTGTTCTCCTTTCGTATTTTTATAAGCTTTACCCGACTGACGTTGCACTTTGTTTCCAACTACTCCTATCAGCTTTACGTTTCCTAGAAACCCCACCATGGGGCGACCGACGAGAAGGTGTAATGCCAAGCAGCTCTAACGATTAAAATATTAATTTTTTACTATCCAGGATGTATAAATAATAACTTTTAAATTTAATCTAAAATGGCACAAGCGAAAGTCGAATTCTACTTTTCCAAAATTATAATACAAATTAAGTTGAAAAACTACCTTCGTTTTGATTTAGGGCAGGTTCCATTTCTTGGTCAATATTTGCAGTTGCCATTTTGAAAACAACAAAACTGATAAAATTATTCCGAACAACTTTGTAATTGTAATATGATTGGTTGATTGGAGATAGAACAAGATAATATTTTCAAGTTTGCTCATTAAGGAGATAGAACAATGCAATATTGCATGCAATACCGTGTTAAAAGTTTCATTTTTTTTCAATATAATTAAAGTAGAACAACACAATGCTAAAATATTCGAAAATAATAAAATCTCAATTTTTTCAAAAATTGGAGATAGCACAAGATAATTCTAACGTCGCGATATATATTTTTTTACCGTATATATATTAATTTTGTTGCAGGAGTCCATTAAATACTTATTAATAAAATTTTATTTATAAGTTCGCACTTATGATGATGCACACTCATGGCAGTGTTTGCAATATTTTTGGCGCACTTAATCCACTTGCACTTATGCCATTCTATGCAACTGCATCGCACTTATACCAGTTCGCACTTAAGCTGATGTCTATAAGTTCTTATGGTGCACTTATACTGATTCGCGCCTATGCCAGTTTGCAGTAATGACAGGTTTTGCAACTTCTTCGGTCTTAAGATAAAAATCAAATTCAGCTTTAAACCAATTACTAAGAAAAATCTTTTAGTGATAAATTAGAAGTTGTGAGTTCCAGTAATGAAACAAGTAATAGTCGTTTTTAAAGATAGACAACAGCGGGAAAATAAGTCAAGCTATCTAGCAACACTAAAACACGACAACACATTGATTACTTACAATAAAAACACATAGCATCAGATATTTAACTTATAATAAATATAATCATTTAATAAAGTTAATACTTGTTTGTGGTCAAATAATATTTTATGATTATAGATGTTGTAAATATTAATTAACCGTTGTTGTTTTTTTTCCCCTGTTTATGTATATAATATTAATTTTTTCTTTTAAAATATTGATTTATTTTTATTATAATTTAAACCATTTTTGTTGCTATTGGTGTTGATAATTTATAACTATTATCTTTATAATTTTTATTTGTATCACTAATATTATTTAATATGATTATCGTTAGGTTTTTACTTTATATTAGTTTTAAAGTAATTGTAAGTATCCTTTACTGCAAGACCTTGTTCAGAAATATATATGATTGATACAATATAAATAGTGGATAAATAAGTATTATAAGTTTTAGCAAACATATAACATATATAAACATATAACATAAATAGCTACCACAAAAACGGTGTCAGCTACAGTTCCATTAATGCTTTTTTTAATAATAAACCCTCATTACAGAAAAACAGAAAGTGTTTGAAAATTAAGTCTTGAAAAAAGTTAAAAAGGTTTTTCCTTTTTTTATGCATACAAAAAGGGAGAAGACACCACTTATAAAACATAGATCGTCCAGGTTATAATTTAAAAATCCTGAAATTTCTTTGCGTACAATATGCATAATATTTTATCTCATATTTTTCTCTTAATTTTTGCCTTCAGCTGAGTTAATTTTATCATTTTTTTGTATGAGTGATGACTAAAAAACTCCAAACATCCCAGTGGGCACGGAAGTAAAAAAGGACGTCTTTTAAACGTCTTATACACGTTTTAGACGTTTTCTGAACGTCTTTTGAACGTTTTGGACGTATTTTAAACGTTTAAAAGACGTCTTTTTTACTTCCGTGCCCACTGGGATTTACACAAATGCATACTTAAACTTGTATGCATTGAAATAATTGAGGATATCCGGAAAACAAAAAGTCTTGAAAAATACCCGGAATACCGGGAACATCCGAAAAAAAAATAATCCATGTATAAAAACTACAAAATCAATTTACCTGCTTTTTTTGGTACTGCTGCTGCTGATGTAGCAGTCGTTGTTTGCGTTATTGAAAAACATCGTGTGGTTTTAAGTAATCAATTTAAATTGAAGATGATATAACTTCTGTTTTTCTAATTAGTTTGTAGTTTTCAATTCATAGATTTTTATGGTTTCCAATATTTTCAACATAATGCAATGTTGAATATTGGGAACAATAAAGATATAAGAAACTTTGAGTCTTGTACATCTTAAAGTTGTGATAAAGAATGCAACTTTTTGTTCGCTATCAGACTAATTCATAGACTCATTCATAACTAAATTAAAAACAATGGTTAATTTTACAATTAATTAAAGTAAAATATTTTGTAAAGATGTAAACAAAGAGATTAAATAAAAGGAGTAAAGCCTACGTGTCTGAATCTCTCTTCAACTAATCTAAAACGAATTAAGCAAATGAAACAGCACAAAATCAAATAACTATGCATAAATTCCATAACTTACAAAAATTACCTTCCACACCAGTGTTTAAATGAAAAAAGGCGAACATAAAGATAAAATACAAATGAACTTCCCTTAAAAAGTCATATTTAAAAAATTATTATCAACAACAACAAAAAAAAACTTTTATGAAAATAAACAGGTACTGTACTTACTTTAACAATGTCAACAACAAAGGATAATCTAATTCTCCAGCTCTACCTCATAGGTCTCATCTTATAACTCCCAAGAATAAATTATATGCAAATAACTTTTCCTCTATTTCATTCCTTGATTATAATATATTATACAACTATAATGACTATAAAAAACTCTTCCTGTCTTACCAGAGAAACAGGTTAACCTTTTGTTAGACTTAAAAACATTGATAAAAATAATAATCTTTGAAACATTGCTAAAAATAATAGTTACACATTATTTCACTTAATAATAGTTACACTTATTTTCATGATGTATTTTCAAAGTAAACTAATAAATAAAAATTAACAAGAAATCATTCTGTAACATAAACTTCGTGTTGACTTTATGAAAAGGTATAAAATAAAGCTGCACAGTTAAAATATCACTTTACACAACAAAATTAAAAAGTTCTAGAATGCAATATGAAAAACAAATGAACGTTATCAAAGTTAAGCACTGAAAGTATCTTTATAAAATTTCTGAAAAAAATTTAAAAAAAAAATGCCTAACAACATGTCTAACACTTTCGTTCTAACTTTATTTTAATGCAGGAAGCATTTTTGTCATTTTTTTATCTTAGATATAAACTATGATACATTAGATATAAACTATGATACATTATATGATACATTATATTATAATACATCATACAATGCATAACATAATGTTTAAAAAATGTATGACTAATCAAAGCTCAAATAATGACCCATGAGCTGCAACTCTCACTTTCCGCCAAAACCTGATGCTCTACCAAATAGCAGAAAAATATATAATTAAAAAAGCTGATATTTTCTTCAAATACCTCTAATTCTAGCCTGGAATTACTAACTTTTAATTAAAAATCAAAAATCTACAAAATTCAGCAATTTGAAAATTCCAAAATCTGATTTAAAATAATGGTTTCCAAAAAAACAAAAATAATAATGAAATTTAATTTTTTCAAAGCTAAGCAATAACAAATATCAAAAACAATAAAATGTAGCTTGCAATAAAAAATATTTAGAGATTAGCAAAAATCATTTCTACATATAACAATATTTAAGTGTAAGCTTAAAAAAGACTAAACTAAGAAACGCTAGAAAGTAGCATGGGCTATTTCAAAAGTAGTATAAAGGGCTATTTCAAAAAAAGTATTTTTAACTATCAGGTTCAAGAATTTTGCAAAAAAGGGACACTAGCTAAAGAAACACAAAGCTAATTGCCAATTAAAAGCTATTTTAAATGTTTTTTATAATATATTAATTTATAATATATTAAATAAATATGGAGTATGCTCTTTATAAATATTATAATATACTAACCGTTTCTATAAATAATAAATAATAAACATTTTAATATTTATTTATGTCGCTAAATAAATAGATATTAAAAACTTTTAAAAATATTTTATATTAGGATATGAACCTAAATTCCACTATTTCCTTACTTTACATTGAGCACAAAACTGTTCATTTATGCATAAATGCAAGAGGGGTCAAAATTTTAAAATTATTGAAGTATGAAACTATTTAGATTTTTTTTTATATATTATTATATGCTGTGAAATGTAAATAATTTTTTTTTCTAAAAAAAAATAAATTTTCGCAGGGAAAAAGGCCTTATAAGATTGAAAAAATATATAAAAATTGGAATTTTTTTCATAATAAATTTTCAGACTTTATTTGTTGGAATAAAGTTTTTATAGTTCAACTTAACAACATCGTTTAGCTTTACAATATTTAATACAAAACAAATTTAAGTTATAATATTGTCATAAAAATGTTTTGGTTTACGATTTTGATATGAAAAGGTTACTAAAATTTTTTTTTGATTAAAGCTTGGGCAAAGTTTTTATGTTATTCATTCGTGCTCTCACAAAACCGTCTCTTTTTTCAAAACCACAAACAGAAAGTGCTGCTTCTGTAACTTCTTTTACTGCCCTTTCACAAGATTGCGTGTCAAGAGGAAAGTACAGAGCTTCAAAGCAAGTGACCAGCTATTTGCCAAGATCGTATGTAGAGATTTAGCACATAAACACTGGTTCTGATATTTTTTCCTTCTCCCAATCTATTAGCTCTTTGATAGACAAAGCTTCTGAATTGAGAAAAACCTTTTTTCTTGACCTTACCGCTGTGTCTCCGAACTGCGAGGTTTTCCTTATATCTTTAATTGTTTTAATGGTAAACTTCCTCAATTCTTCATCTGAACTTGACAAAAGAGTTAATATAAGGGATTCCGAGCTGGTTTTGCTTGGCGGTATAGCTTTAGGTGGTGTATAATGAGTGAGGTATCTTCCATCAGGCTCACACGTCACAGTTATATGCTCTTCTTTTATAGTCCTAATGTGAAATTTATTTAGAGGATTTCTAAATAAATTTCACATTAGAGGATAAATTTCACGTTAGAGGATTCTGTTCCAAAATAAAAGTTGAGTCCTTCCTGCCATCAATAAACAAACCTCTAATAGGTTCTTTGTCAATTAACTTTTCTTCATACATTATTACTCTCTTCATTATTTCTTACTTTCATAGGATCAACAGGTAAATAAGACATATCAGGCATCAAATACTTTGCTTCAATAAGGTCTAGAAGAAAGGATGTAATAATAGCTGATGTTGCTACTGGTGAAATATCATATCTTATTGAAGCTTCTGCAATATGACTTATTGACATTTTTTTTCCAAATCTTGTTTTGAAGCGGA